ATGTATTGAATTCGGTTCAACAAATGAAACCAGATCGAAACAAAACAACTTAGAAGTTTGCATCAGAAAGATAAAATCTCATTTCATATGTGGTAAAAAGATAAAATTGAAGTAATATAAATGGTATAAACTGATTATTCAAAGATTGAGATTCTTTAATCAGTCGATCACCGTATCGTATTTATGCTGAAGGAGATAAGAATCATTTCGAGGCGAAAGATAAGCCGAAGCAGCTAATAAAATTAACAAAAACATCGAACGCATGCAAGTGAAATATACAATAAATTCAATAACGAAAGGTTATTATTGCCTTGGAGATGCTGCGATGAGCACGAGATGACTGAAGAGGTCGGGCCTTTTGACGGAGGCAATGCAGCCGATCATGCCGGACATGGAATGACCAAGGAACACTGTTCCTTTGAGCTTCAACCGGTCGATGAGCGCGATGAGAGCATCAGCGAAGGCAGTGAAGGAGGAGTACTTGGAAGCGTCGATGGCTCCCTTGAAGTTCCAGTCAAAGAGAAGGAGTCGGTACCTCTGAGAGAGGTGAGGGACAACATGGTCCCAAGTGGACTGACTCCCCCCATACCCATGCGAGAGCACCACAGCTTGCTCTCCTTTCCCTTCGATTCTCACGTTAGTGATCATGTTCATGATCAGGTTAGAGAGAGAGAGAGAGAGAGAGAGAGAGAGAGAGAGAGGGAGAAGACGGACGCACAGGCAAGACAATGGCTATTTAAGAAGGTTGGAAGGACTTATCAGTCGAAGAAGGACATCTCCTGTGGATTGTAATGCATTTCATTTTCTACATGAAGTCAGTCACTTAGCTAAAGGTAAAATTTGCCGCCAAAGGCTGTTTCTCGATGGTGAGAAATGTATGTACTTTGCGGTGAAATCGTCGTTGCGTGTGTCACTAAGCTTGCATTTAATTTTAGGTGGAAGATCGCTATCACAATCGCTCCGAGAAGAACCAAAGGTTGCAAAAGTCGCCATAAAAGACAACCACAGAAATGTGGTCATAATTTGCTGCTGCATGTGTCCAAATATAACCTTTTCCTACGATAAAAGCTTATGGCCCACAATAGCTTATGTTCCATGCATTTGAAATAGTCATATCATATCTCAAAAAAAAAATCTTAAAATAAATATATAATAAATGAGAATCTACCGTATTCATCTACTCACTAATCCACATACCACATAATATAATATTAATTTAATTGAATACACTAATATTTTATAAGCTAATCTTAGTTTTACTCAATATAGGACTACTCAACAATGTTATAATCTCTCCCACTCAAAAAGATCACTCAAAAAGATTAAAGATCTGATGAGTATACTACTATTAATTTTAGCTTTAGAATTTAGGCACGATGAAGGGGCTCAAGTAGGAAATGACTACTTGTGATTGGAGTTAGAGGATTCGTCATGACATGGAGCAACCATTGTGTTACATCTCATATGTACCATGCTAGGGTTTGATTGAGTTATATTAGACTTTAGTAATGATGTCAAGCTCTTGATGGTGAAAAATTATAATATCCTCTATTAGCCTCGCAAGGTTAGATAAGTGTATTATTATCAATTTCAGCTTAAGGATCTTGGTTAATGATTTGGGTTAAACAAAGTTAATAGATCAGTTAACCCATCAGACCCAGGTCATGACATTGGTAGATGATAGAAACCTCTCACGAGCATAATAACAAAAGGACCATTAATTGTAGAGATGAATAAGTAGATTCAACTTTCATGGGTCAAGCTTTTACAAATGTATGCTGCAGTTGAGGGAAAGAAACTTTCAGGACTCTTCCTATAGATAACCACCAGCATTCCTCGATTGGCACATAGCAATGATAAGATGTAAATCCCAATGGAGTCTATTAGGGCAGATAACAAGGCCATAGTCGGCTAAGGTGGGGATGATGGGCTGACGCATTTAGGCGATGCCCTCGTCTATCCTCCGTAGCACAGTCGGATGGGAGAGAATCAGAGGGAAGGAAAACAATGATAAGTTCTTATTCGACATGGAAGAAAAAATTATATAAAATTAATAATTTGAATGAAAAAAATATTTTTTATCCCTTCTATTCATTTTTTCGTCAACAAAATTGACGAGATTATCCATAGCAGTTGCCATAGAAACCGGGGTAGAGGAATACTTGAACGTGGAAGATGATCGAGAGACCATGAAAATAGGTATATATTTCTTTTTGTTTCTTGATATCGTCGGCATAGATCGACCATAAGGAAAGGAGAACACCGTACCGACCAATAGCAGTACGTGCATCCACATCTCGAGTGCAAGCAGCATCCAGTTATCGTTCACACGAGGATGGACGTGTAAGTGCTGCGACGAAGAAACAAGCCAAAAGTGGTTGGGGATATCGTCCCATGTACAGATTTAAAGCAGCCAGTAGTGGTTTAGCTCGATTAAGATAGGAGAGAAGTGGAAGATGGACCATCTCTTCTGCCCACTTTTGAGAATTAAATAAAACTGGACGATAATTAAGTCGGCTGGCCGTATTGCATTAATGCTTCCCCAAGTAAAGCCTTCGCCTATAAATCACAAAAGTTCTATTCATCCTATTATTTATTTCTCTGGGGGGATACATTTGTTCTCCTAAAAATATTCATGAGTGAGATAAATAAAGATGGATTGTAAGGATGGTCTCATTTTACTATGGATTGAAAGAATCCGATTATATATTCTAGTTTTGGGATTCAATTGACATCTGACCCGATATATGTTAATTCATATTAATTTTGATTCAACCTTGTTATTTCTAAATTTTTGACATGGTATTTGAATTTCTAATTGATATCAGTGACAAGTGGACAAAATTTGATAAGAATAAGTCAGAATTATAATAAATAGAAAAAAGATTGAGCAGGTCAATTTTTGGTCTAACTAAATGAAAATGAATCAAATTTTCTTGAATAAATAAAAGATAATTAAGCCACACATGAATAAAAGAAAACGTTGAAAATACTAAATAGAGACAGATTGAAAAGGATTGTCCCATGTCGCTGATAATTGAAAGAGGCAAAGTTACATAATACTAAATTTAGCTCTTAAGTTAAAAGTTTAAGTTTTTAGATTAAATTAGTATCTGACTTTAATCTTAACTTATTTAACTCAGATTCATATATTATTAGTTGATGATTTAAGGTTCAATTATAAATGTCTTGGTGCGGCCATTTATCCTTTTGTACAAGTGATATATTTTTACGTTCTAATATAATATACTTCGGCTTACTGCGGCAACAAATGAACAACTTCTACAGTATTGTTTTGATAAGGGTTATTTTAATATTTAGTCATGGTTTTTAATAATCGTTATTTTCAATACAGTATTGTTCAGTTAATAAATGGAATCCCTGTTGGCATCACATTAGGTTAGTTTAGTTGTGACTCTGTCAACTTATGTCTCTCTTGTATTTGCATCAACACACTCTCATTTTTCCTTGCAAATTATGTTGAATACGCACGTACGCGTATGCCAAAACTCTTCGCACGGAGCGGATGAGCACTATCGAGTCTTCTTATTTATGGGATGCCCTCAGAGAGACATATCGACGAGCGGGTTGCGGGTGAATATTTGGCAAATGCAATTGAAAGGGCACACACAATTTTAGCGACTTGGCCTCCCAAGGATCCATGAAAGATAGTTCGAAAGCAGTTGGCAGTGGCAATCAGCTTCATGAATTGAAATGGAAGGCCATGACGCATCATCACCCACATTCAAAAGGGGATCTGTGTATTTGGTCGACGGTATGTGTATTGACATCAACGGGACGACAGAGATATGTAACGCAATGCATGGTGGCAAAGAGAGACGTGAGGCCTCAGCCTTTCCCGTGCCGTCTTGAGAGAGAGAGAGAGAGAGAGAGAGAGAGTGTGTGTGTGTGTCTGTGTGTGTTGTGGCGGGGTGGGGGTGGGGGTGGAGGTCGGGGAGGTCTCAGGCTTGCGTACTTTTCGTTGTCTTCACTGGGTGGTAACAAGGAGCGCCTTCAACCACCCAAAGTTATCGTTGAAGAATTTGGATGATTTCGAAATATGGTGTATTTATATGAAGGACTTTGATTGTCCTTCAATCATGCATGTGAATTGTATTGATTGATTCTTAAATCATCATGATTGATCGAGGATTGTGACATATTGAGAATATAATAAAATCGATCATATATACTTCTATCTTGATCATCGATTAATCATGATTTGAGCTTCAATAATGATCTCTCATTAAATTATCTTTTTTTATCATATCCCGATAAGATTGAGCTTCTATCATGAATGTTAATATTGAAATGATATAAATAAAATACATTACGAGTAAGTGATTTTATGAGAGAATCAATTAGTTAGTCAGAGATATATACATGCAATACACATAGAGAGCGGTTTGACAACTTAGTCTCCAATGAAGTGAAAATCTATAAATAGCTTTTTGATGTTTAGAGATATAGTTGGGAAATTAAAGTAAAAAAAATTCAGGTGTTTGATGCATAAAAACATCTTTAGTTCATGTCATATACAAGAAAGTATTGTGAACATATAATTATTAATTATATACTAGCCTTATGTGATAGCTAAGCTTTGGATGAGTCAAATTATTATTGGTTTATTGATCGAGCTAAAGGTTTCTACGAAGTTACACTTGATCGCTAGTGAAATCCTTTAGCCATCGGATGTGGGTATTTAGTAATAAATCTATTTGGGTTCTATTTAATTTGAAATATCCACTTATACCTCATGATAATTTGTGTGAGGTTAGAAGGAATAAGGGTTCATGTGATAATATGAAGTAGGGCATTGTACTCCTCACACTTGGCTTTACGTTAATAAGGATATTTTTGAGCTTAAGTGATGTGTAAGCTACTAGCAAGCAAAGGCTACTCGTAAATGTTGTCGGAGTAACGATTCTATTATATCCTTTAAAAAAATTAGTTAGGAAAGAATATATAACAAAGGTATTATTTTATTTATAAAATTAAGAGATAAGAATAATATTCTTTTTGATGTGAGGTACACACAAAACATCATCAAATTTTAATGTGATCATATATGAATTAAGTGTTTTGGAACCCGTGTGAATGATAGAGAATTTATTACCATTATTAATAATGATATCTTTGTTACCACTATAGTTTGAATGAATTAATAGATTTTACAATGATTGTTAGGACTGAAATTGGCTCTAAGAGGGGGGGGGGGGTTGAATTAGTGCTTCGATAAAAATCTCAATGATTCGAAAACTTTCATTCGATGAAAAAATCATATTAGAAATGTTGAAGGTATGCTTGACTTAGAATAAGTGTAACAAGCAATTAAAACAATATCAATGACAATGAAAAGTAAAATAGAAATGCAAACTGAGTTTTATAGTAGTTCGATCATCATGACCTACGTCCACTCCCGATTCCTCCTCCGTTGAGGCCACCGGCATTTACTAATGATCTTCCTTCAATAGGCAAAGACCAACTATCCTCTTACAACTCTTTTATCCTTTTCACAGATTTAGGATATAACCTTTACAACCCACCCACCCCTCTCTTAAACTGAAATCAACACTTAAAGATAGAGGATGAGAATTCTCACAAGATTACATAGCATTTTCCCTAATTTTTATTCTCAGTTTATATGTTTACCGAGTAGGGATAAGTGGGGTTTTTATAGGCCTCAAA